CCCTCCCCCCCCCCAACCATTTCCCTCCTCCGTTCCCCTAAAGGTATTATCGAAAATTTTGCAATCACTACCATAATTTTATCTTTCAAAGTAGTTATTGTTTAAACGGATTAGGTAAAATGAATTAAATTTCCTAATAACTAAATCGATTCGCATACCACCCCCCCTTTGCAAGAACTTAAACTATTCAAGAGTTTCATTCGGTTGTAAAATTAAGAAATATCGTTATGAAGAAGATTGTAGTGTATCAGCTTTGGAAACGCCAAGTTAGACTTTAAAGCATTCCAATTTATCTGGAACATCAATTCTAGGAAGGAAGTGCAAATACCTATCCAAACATTTTATTAAGCTTAAATCGATTAGCATGTTACAACACGAATACTGCACTCTAAAGGAACGGAAAGTGAATACATTTTCTAAGATTCGTACTCGTTGGAGCCCACAAATTATTAATCGCTGATTGTGCTTAAACTTCTCCCTCAAATTCAGCTTTAATTACAGTGAAATTCGCTAGGCTGAAGTAAAAACCGTACTGTTTACTGGTGGTGGCATGGTGGTTGATGCGCGCAGATCTGACTTTGACCGGTTCGCTCTCTGCGGTCAGTATAACAAAGCGCATTGGGTTACATTCAACCAAATAAGCACTAATGAATAGAAGTTTGATAATAATAAGATTCGAAGGGTTGACTTGCATTCGCTCTGAAAAGTATTCCACTTCGCGTAGTTTAGAAGTAATATACAAACAAGCTAGCTGGGAATGTTTTTTTGCATGACATAGGGATTATTTTGGGATTTTATCACTAAGCTCTAAAAAAATGGAAGGTGTTGTATTTCCCCAAAGGTCCTTTGAGGAGGTTCATTGTGGAAATCTGGTATTGCTGCTGACACTTCGATTTGTTAGATTCCTATCATTCCTTAAGGCCAAAATAATTTTGGCAAGAAAAGCTCTTGTGGAGGGGTGTGCGATAGACTTACCTCCACGTGGTGCACCCTGGGCAACGTATACTCATACGGCAAAAAAGTCTATTAGCTGGCAGTTGACTTCTCACTTCAAACTACCATCACCCCACTGTATGCCATATTCGACTACTTCCGCAGTACTCACCTCACCATTCTTTCTACTTTTATATCTGTCTCTTACATCATTTTTGAAATACTCTTCTGTTCCCCCTCTCAACTTTTTTTCATTTTGAAGTTCCTCCCCTTTGTGAAGCCTGAAGTCAATTAAAAGGCTAATGATAACTATCAATTCGCCTACCATTTGATACAATGATTGCTTTAACTGAGAGTTTCATCACTTTTGAGCAACATTGCATCACACCTTCGGCAATTAATAGCATAAAATATCGTTGAAGCGAAACGGCCTTCTGTTCCCCATCCATCGACTTTCTGCTACTTTGATGAACCTTCCCTCTTTGAAGCCTGTTGTCAGCTAAATGGCTAATGATATTTATCAAAACGCCTGCCATTCGAAATGAATAAATTTTACCTCTGCTCCATAATAACCGTCAATTGGGAAGAAATTCAAAATTTCCACCCTTTTTATTAGAACAATTTTTGAAATCAGTATTTCATTCCGATGTGAACATCAGACTTTTATTTTGCCTTGCAAATATCCCTGTTTAAATTAATCAAGACTTATACCATATATATTACCCTTTCATTCCACACTTTACTATTCGTTCGATCGAATTTATTTATGCTTCATGTTAAAACCGATTTACATCCTATTTAAAACAAACAATTTTAGTCCCAAGACTTAAATTTTCAGCAATCTATTTCGTTAAGCCAAACCAATAACATGTAAAGAGAACATATACTATTAAATCTAATGGTATTTAAAAAATCATGTCGATTTAAAAGAAAAATGTAAAGGTATTTTAAAAAATAATGTATTGCATCTAAATTTTAAAAATGATTCGTCAATAATTTTGTTCTATCAAATCAAACATATGGCATTCATTTAAATCTGGCCGTCCGCCGCCAGTTCGATTTGTTGGGATTTATTGTATATATATGCATTTAATACAGCTGATTGTTTTGTTCATTTTAATATTTTTCATAATTGGTAAGTGAGTTTGCTAATTGTCAATTTTAGATGTCAACCCTAAGGGAAATCGACCAAAGTTCCCCAATCGATCATTTTCGAAGAAGAAAATGAGTTCAGGCATGTAAGCGACTATCTTTTAGACATAAATTGTTTATAAATTCAGTAAACTAATGATTCCTTATTAAACTCTTTATGCTTTGTATTTAAATTGCAGGTCATTGAGTCGGAAGCAAGCACTAATCGCTGGTGGCGGTTTGGCTTCAATGTATATTGGCTTTAAGATGGCATCTCAACGTGACCTCGGTGGAATATTTTTTTATTATTTTGATTTCAGCTTTACGAATATTTCATTTTTATTGTTTTTTCAGCTAAATATACAATATGTGAAGGGCCTCGTAATGAATTAGGCCCAGATTTGGTGATGCGACAGTATCGCTACACTGTTTGTCCAAGTCATTTGCGCTATTGTTGCCTTAGTGATCTCTACATGGGGGAGCGGTGCTGCGCAGGCCGTCCATAGTAATTATTTGCTTTTTTCTGTTTATTTATTTGAATCTTACATAGCGTCCTCTGATGGTCTTAACCATTATCTTTTAGCACGTTTACAAACCAATATAAAACTGTTTAATTTCCATATTGGTTATGCAATGATCTTTGCTTTATAAAACGTTTCATTAAATGAATAAAATCCTCATCTAAAGTTATTTATCCTGTCTCTTCAGTTTTACTCACTCATCGTCTCGTGGTACAACAATCGGTTCTCTTTTCGGCACCCTCATGATGATATTGTGCATTGGCCTAATAATATACTTCTGTTGTCTTCGACGTCGTTCAAAATCCTCGACTCAGGTGTTGGCCCATGATCCTGATGAGCTATACCGTCTTCCCACGTCTCTTCGTCAGCCCACATCTATTGGTACAGGTGTCACAGTTGGGGGTTATGCTCCCGCGTTTGATCATCAAGTACCTCCTCCTCCAGTTCCTAGTGGACCAGATCCTATCTACTATCCCGTGAGTAATCAACTTGTGCTATTATCATGGCCATCATTAAACACTCGCTTTAGTTGCTTTCATTTAATGTCCTCTAGAAATACACCTTGCATTTCCACTTGATCGAAAACAGGAATGGACAGGGAAGCGTGTGGTTTTAGATGTTTAATTTTGTTTATTATTTTATTTATCATTTGGTTGGAGAGAATGTTTCTTTTTGAAAAGCCTTTTCTCATTGATGTCACATTGTCCTCCCAGGTTCTGAGATGTTAATTCTGTTTACTTCGTTTCGAGATTAGTTTTTGGGTAGGACAGCTTTATTGGATGTCGTTTTTTGTGATGAAATACTTGTACTCATCAGCATTTTCCTTTTCTAATGTTTGACAACTCGGGTCTAATTCGTTTAGCATTAAATTCTACATTCCGAGGTATACTATGGTGAAGTAGTGATTGAGACCTTTTTCCCACTTGTCTATTGATTTTGATAAAACTAGTTGAAGTTATTTTCATCGGAGATACTAAAAGATGTCAGTCCTCGACCTAAGTTTGTCACTGAATTATCTCGTTCCTCATTGAAATGGAGAGGCTGAAATTGTCCGAGTTTTGATCGACAGCTCATAGTGCTTAATTCTGTAACTTGAGAAAGGTTGGCGTTTATCGGCGTTGATGTTCAAGTTTAGATTTTTAGATGACCGCTTTGGCATTTATCACATTATCCATCATGCTTCCTGTAGCTTTGGATGGCTATAGCATGTAACATTTTCCAGGTAAACAAGAAATTAGGTTTTGTGTCTACGTATCTTATTTTAAATCGTTTTTTTCTTTAAAATGTTGCATTTGATTAGTGGCCATAAATGCCACCTGTAAGATCACTTATCTTGTGACCAGGGCCCAAACACCCACTAAATCATGAATTCTGATTGCCAGAATAAGATGGCAAGTGTGGTTGCTATTGTTTCTGTAATTCGGATGGAGTAGTTAACGAATGCAACTCCAGAAGCCCTTCTCATAAGTGAAGCCTTTTATTAATCGATTAGGATAAATCATATTACCCTCATTTATGAATAGGTGATCATTAATGATGATGCTTCCAAATAAATTAATTTTGATAGCCTAACTATTGCTCCTATTTTCAACAGCTGGTGAGAGGGGGAGAGAGTAGAAAATAACTAGTACATCTCATTGATGGCATGGGAATAAAGAAAGGTTGTTTTCTATGCCGCAGCCACTTGTGACAAAATTTATTGGCATAGTATAAGTGCGTGCGAGGCCTAACTTGTTCGTCTTCGAAGTCAGTGACTGTGGGTTCGATCCTACTCATTGGTGAGCACTCATAGGCTGCAATGATCTATCCTAGTAATTAAATGGGGTAGGGGAAGAAGGCAACAGAGTTTGAGTGTCATACCATGGTACTCATTTCCCCAAGGTGTTTATTTTCGGAAATGTTTCCCTAAGTGGGGTTTGGGGTTTTCGGTTCATTGGATATGAAATTACAGATTAGGGACAGTAACAAAATTGAGATATATCCATGAAGTTCTCCTCCCTCAAGATTAAGGCAACTTTTAGGAGAATGATTCGCGTTTTTTCTTCATAAACTCGTCGTAATTCGTCGCTAAATTGATGAGCTAAATACTGTCACTTGTAAAAAGCCAATCGTAATGTAACGGAATTATGCCAGTGCAATTTGATAGTAAGCGAATTCGTGATCAGAATTTTTCGCATAGCAAAGATCCGTGTTTAATTGTAATTTGGTATAATTTTTATGTCCCTAATTCCCCCCCCCCTCTCTCTCTCCTGGAAGTTGTAGCCATTAAATTCAACCTGGTTAATTGTCTGATTGCATGAATGATCATCTCGTTTTTCGACAACCTATCTGTCGTGTACAACGTAGGCAATCTTCCTTCTATCTCCCTTGCAGTATTAGGCCTAAATTTTATTTTACCATATTTGATGTCCTCGATCTCGTGTGTCTGAAAGTACATTTAGGGTAAACAGGACGTTAAGGTCATTTATCAAAATCAGGGAAATTATAAGTTATAATCACTACCTATGTTTCCATTAGTGTTATTAAAGCATTTCTGTGTCATCATTTTGGCGTAACTAATATAGCCAGTAATTCCGCCTTCTCGTTGTTTATTCCCTTGGTTGAGGCTAAGAGAGGCTTATGTCGCTTGAGCATGTCATAGTTGCCTGATCCGGTCGTAATTTTAATGTTCATGTGTCTTTTCATCTCTAGGTATTGATCTTCGGTGACGTGTATGGCGCTGGAGTGATGAATCTGGATGTCGGGGGGGGGGGGGGGGAAATAATCGCCTTTACATCGATTATTGTCATCGCATATTTTAATAAACACGTGTTAAATTAACTTTCTCGCTACTGTTGGTGGCTGTCTTGTAATCCATTAGTTCGGTTTGAAGTGAAGAAGAAATTCTTGCCTTTGCATTAGGGCGAATTGGGTTATTTATATTTCATCTGTAGATATTAGTCGGTTTATCATCTGCGGGTTTGGCTTTATCACGCTACTGAACTCTTCGTGCTTTACTTTGACGCCATTTCCCATTTGATTGATTTTCGGTGAAGTTGTTGTAATTCCTACCTTCGCGTGCTTTAAATGTCTTCAAAAATATTTTTAAATGGTATTATTGTCTGAAGATGAAATGGAATTTTTAATTTCAATAAAGTCTATTTTGCTGCATTATTTGTTAGTGCAAACTTGGTATTGTCTACTCGTGGAGCCGAAATTAGTTCTTCATATGATACGGTTTTAATGTGTGCTTCTAGCCCTGTTTGTTGAAATGCGAGAAGAGTGCGATCATGAAGAGTGGTGACTTCTATTGAGCTTGAAGTGTGATTTTTTCTTCTCTTCTTTAAGAATGTTTTGGTCGACTAAGATTGGTTGCCAGATTTTTTAGATTCTTTCACTTGTGTCGTAATAAGCACTCATTTCAGCAAATCATTTTGTTTGGCTTGAAAGCGTACTCTCGGATTATCTCGTTCGTCGTTATAGCGTACCATGAGATTTATCGATATCGCAGTTAATTGGCTGGTATTACTAATTCATGCTTTCAATCTTTTCAGGAAAATCCACCTCCATCATATTTCGATTCTACAAGAAGTAATCAACCACCTCCCTATCCAGATGTCATCCCTCCAAATCAGTCGCCATATCCACCAGCACCGCCTGCAGATAATGCATCAGCTCCTCCATACCCCACTCCGTCTTCTCAACATCCTGGCGCTCCTATTGGCTCAGGATGGAGTGAACGACCACCCATAACACAACCTTAACTCGTTTCATCAAATCCTCATCTTATTTCTTCCTAACTTTAATTCTAAAGTGAGAACAATCATCATGAGTTGGTATTATTATAGTCATTATAGTGCAGGAACTACTCAGAACTCGAATTATCTCGAAAAGATAATATTTCAAGTTTGAATTATTAAAGTAGATATACAGGCGTTCAATTTGATAATTTTTACGTTGTTAGAGAAACAGAGCTCACGTTGGGAATATCACATTGCTCAGCCTCAGACAAGGGGGTATGTGATATTAATATTTGACTTTTGCTTACTCAAATCAAAATCTACCCTAGTGGTTAAGTATAGCTAGTAAAGTTCGAAATTTTAAATTGCTTACCATTTCTCAAAGATGTGAGTGCATCTCTACTACGTAAAATGGGGATTTCAAATTTTCTACGGAATTCGGCTGCAGTACCAAGTAGGCCCACATTAACAAAGTGCACCAGACTAAAGTACTCCAACAGGTCGTTTTGAATGGGTGTTCCAGATAAAAGAACCCGTCTTTGGCAGTTCAATTGAACCAATGCCTGATAAGTCTGATTTTCGGAGTTCTTTAGACGATGACCCTCGTCGCAAATAATCAGTCCTACTGTTCCTCTGTGCAACTCCCCCACATGTAACCGGAAGGTTTCATAGGAGATTATCAGAATCGGGGTAGCTATGCGTGGAGGTCGTTGGGACATAAACTGAGCCAGATTCCGATCAATTTCAGCCTTTGATCCCGAATCGATGGCTAGAGGGTTCACCCGACCATGCAACCATTTACTCAACTCGTTTGCCCAGTTCTTCACAAGACTACTGGGTGTCACGATAATTGCTTTATCAATCATTGGTTTCGCCTCAGGACTTTGGCGCTATCAACGGATATTAACATGAAAAGGAAAATAATATCACTACCAGTAGGGTCCAAACCAGAGTAATGCATTGAAGTTTTTTACCAAGACCCATTTCGTCCGCCATAATACAGCCATAATTGTCTGGAATCCTCAAACCAGTAACACAATCATACATGAATTTAACACCCTAGGGAAGCATGCATTAGTGTCTTACATTCAAAGTCCTACTTCTTGTTGATGGGGACGCAGAAACTTGGTCAGAGATGGATCGACGACCACGTGAACTAATTTTTCGCTAAAACCAAAAGCAAATTTCAACTTTTGCAAGTAACCACATACGCGTCAGATTTTAAGCTTTCATGGACATTTAATTCAGGAGGCTCATACAAAACAAGTGCATTCTCCTCAAACGGATCATGCAGCGCCACTTTGGCGGACGAACGTTTAACACCCAAACATTTGGACTCGTATCCACTAGCTAAATGCACATTAGTATAGCCAGTGAACAT